AGCGCCGTGTGACAATGCACGTCCGAGCGTAGCGTTGCGCCCACGACACATCTTATCCTTCTACTGAGCTTCTTTCCGTCCTTCGATGCCACTTTCTCATTCCGATCCATCACCTTAGAAGCATGCCACCATCAAAGCCTCACCCCTCCTTCCATGGTATGGTTCCAAGTTCCAACCTATCCCAATTTGGTATCGATGCATTAGATGAACCTTCCTCACCTTGGCAATTCGGCTGTCTACCTTATTCACCTCCGCACTTTCCATTATTGATTGCTGTATGTACAGATCTCTCCATGATCCCACTCGGTCTCTTTATCTTACTCTCCCACTCCCTCTCCCACTCACACTCACACTCACACTCACACTCACACTCACGCCCGTACATATCTACTATATCATTTGATCCTATTTGTCTCGTGTCTATCTTATACGTAAGAGCGCTCGGCCGCCCAAGCTTGTCCTGACTAAATCCTTGCCCTGGCCCCATGCTCCCGGGGCCCCATCTGAATCTGCCCCGTGCTGCAGAAGCATGGATCACTTCCATTCGTTCTGGCGTCTTTCCAGAAGTTTTAGAATTGAGTCAGTGAGCGGTTGGTCTGGGGGCTGCAGTCATGGCGCAGTATCCGTCCAAAACCTACACTGACACGGGAATGGGGATGAATCGGTGACCAAGGCATGCTGTAGGTTGGTAAATGTGCTGGTATTCGGCTTTTCATTAAGAGACTCTAATTAAGGACTAGTGCATATCGGATACGGAACCATGGGCCACCAGATATCACTTGAGAATCAAAGAGCGGCAACCATACCGCCGATCGACAGAGCACTCCAATACTGGACACCAACGAATGTAGATGGGATGTTGTTCTTGTTCACAGTCAAAGACGTATGTCAAAGAAAAAGGCAGGTACTCGGGCTTCAAAATGTCGCAAAGGCTGCGGCTCCGGCTCGGCTCTTACTACCATGACCCTTTCCAGTTTACCTCGATTTATGTACTCCGTACGCTTGGCTTCTTCAACCTTTGAGTCATATTATAAAGAAATGCAGAACTTGGCCTTACTGGGCGGGGAAGTCCTGTCCGTGCCGGCGCGGGGGCTAGGACTGATAGCCTGCTGCATGAACAGTCGAGGAGGATACATTGAGAGATATGTTGTTGGATCGATTTATCAACTATTTGCCTCCCTAGGTGGTCGTAAGATTTTGTGAAAGGCTTCGGACTTGGGTAGTTGAATCGAAGGGGAACAATGAAGGTCCAGCGTAGGCTCACCCATCGAATCCTCAGACAGTAGGTTCCTTGGCTCTACAAACCCAACAAAGACTCAAACAAAGAGGACCTTGAGGACGGTAAGCGAATGATGTACTATGGCCATACGTATCAAGTGGTGCCTGTGGCCTAGGTCTGGCCAACTCTTACCTTACTAACCAACCATGTATATAGAAGAGTTCTAGAAACATGGCGCCCAAACCACCCACGGAGGCTTCAAATAGCTTCGCGAGCATGCCCCTCTTTCTCATTAACGAAGGTATGCCTTTGACTGTTGGTTATTATTAGTATCTGAGAAGAGTCCAGTGCTCAGCTGTGATTCCATTCCAGTCCGTTCGTCCCGCCACCCGTTGGCCATTTTCGGCGAAGGCGATGCGCCGACCCCCAAAAAGGGTTGGTGGCTTTAGTGTATCAAATGCAAGCCTTGGCAGCAATACGAATACCTTCTTTTTGCACTTGTGCTCGGACACTGGCCTTGTCAGACGCGAAGCAGAGATGAAACAGTTTGACATTGTATTCCCCGCCTTAGCGCAGGTGAGTTCCATTTGCTTTCTGTTTCGAATATCACGAGTTCCTGGGGTTTGTACGGTGAGTTGCTCAGCAGCCCGTTCTTTGCGTCAATGTGAGGGCTCATCCTTTCTCTTTATGGTTAAAAGATGCGTTGTTTCAGAATACCTTTGTTTACCGAAAGCTAACGACGCAGGTAATTCTCAGGCCGGCTAATAGAGTTTGGGAATATGGACTGTATATCATAATGATATTCTCACCTATCCTCTCAGCCTGCCTCGACAAGCTTGTTGATGCTTCTCCCGCATATGGCCGAAAAACATGACTGGTCAAGGCTCTCGGCTGTCGCACATCCATCGCTACGCCCTTCGTCAATCCCATCAGAGCTTTTCCTTCCATGTCACAGAGCGGCGTTTATACGTATGCACTCGTGCAATGACTCGGCCTAAAGTTGGTTCGTGGGGCGTTGGTTTGCGCGAACTGCCCCGTGATCGACATTTCACCGCGTCTACAACGGAACAAACCCAGCAAATAACAACTGGAACATTGCAGTGCATGCTGCAAAGTAACCTTGAACTTAAATTGAAGCATCGAGGCTCGCGCGGAATCGTGGGATGTAACACAGAAGGCAAATGGCTTTGAGGTGAAAAACGCACCGTCGTTATCTCTGTGTAAGTTCAGGTACATTACAGCCAACCTATGAATGCATCGAGTGCGTCTTTTTCATAACGCATGGATTTCAGTTTGCTTTCTGCTCCATCTTTGTATCATCAGGACCAACCGGGAGTCTGACCGTTGTCCTGCAGCGTCCCAGGGTGGACCCTGAACTGAACCAAGTCAAAGCCCACAGGACCGTGCTCGCCATCACAGACGATGAAACAATTGATGGAAGCCTTCCAGAAGCAGTGGATCAGTGCAGGTCCAAGCCTCAGAGGGTGAGGTGACGTGGGATGGTCGGCCAATTCTTCCAGGGCTGAAATGCAGGTATGGATGTATAGACTTTTCCCCCCTCCACAACGCCAACACCCGTCAGGGCCAATGCAAGCAGGGGTGACTTTGGCCCATGGCTGCCACGAGGGTTACTTTCGATATCAGTCAATTGTGCCATCATATGCCTCTTTCGTGTTAAGATGCATTTCGGACTGTGATTCACGTCAGGTCTCGTTCATCATGTTCCCCAAATACGACGCTACAAATGCGGGAGAAATGAGATATTTATCAGCTCTTGTGTACCACCCACCAACTCAGTCTTGAACGTGGTCAGAATGACTGATAACACGGATTCTTCGCACTAGGTAGGCAAGTCTGATACGTTGGCGGCTGGATGAAGAGCAGACGATAACTGAGGCTGCCAATTTTATCAGCAATAAGGTCCTCGATTATGTGGACTAGTTCTGTCGTGGTTGCTGCTGTTTGTAATTTCCTTGTAGCCTCTTGATTAACTACTCTGCATAGCATACTCCACGGGTGGGTGGACTCGTCTGGTGGCCCGGGCTGAGATTGCCGTCGGCGCGGTTTGAGGACGGACGCATGCCTGCGCGTTCCCGCATTTGTGGTCCTCGACAGTCTGTCCCATCCTCTCACCGTTCCCTTGCGCTCAAGGCAAATCAAGCTGAGGTGAGGTGAGGTGAGCCGCGAGTATGAACCAGCCCGGAGCTTGACCGTACTCTCAGGGGCCGAACCACTTTGATCGGTGACAACAACCAAAATGGCCTGGTCCTGGCATGATGAACAAGCGATTTGGCTTTGCTGGCAAGCAGGCCATGTTGCGTGAATAATTCAGAGGGACCGATGCACCCTTACCAAATGCGTTTTTTAAGATCTGTGAATCGAAAGTCAAGCTGCCTTGCTGCATCACTGGGAAGCGAGACGGATATGTCGATCACCAAAGCTTCGGCCAACTGTTCAGGAACGCGCTATCTCGACATTTGTTGTAGTGTAGCATTCAACTCACAGCTATCCTCGCTGCTCTGTCACTGCCGGTCGACGAAGTGCAAGTGTTTACCGCCATATTGATGAATGCACAGCAGACAAGCCCCCTCCCTCCCACGAGGGGATCCCAGCAGTCTTTAGCACACCTAGATCTGCATCCACGACTCGTCGTTGCTTTTTCTCGTGTGCCCTTTAACGGCAGGCAGATGTTAGTGGTCAATGTGCGGTAAGGATCATGACCGGTTGCGCAGATCACCCTCAGTAATAAGAGAATCGCCAAAGAGACGGGCCGTCTCTCGTTTGTGCCAGATCTGCAGGTTCTCGATTGCTTGCTTTTCTTTTTGCTTTTTTACTACCGGATTGTCCTTACTGTTGCGTAGTGGTGTTCTGTCAGAGTGATCCTTGAGTTGGCTTTGCTCTGCTGACCGCAAGATCCGGCAGGCCATAGCAGATTGTCGATTGCATCCTATTGCTTGCATCGTGGAGATTAACGGTCTGCCCTGCACTCCGCATCCATGCATTCTGGCTGCACGAGTTGCATATCCGGGGAGTGTGCAGTACGACACCGCCGTGTCAGACCACGTCCTGGATGAGGGCGGTCTGGAAGTTCTCGGGGCGATAAGACCCGTGGTTCCTTAAGGTTCTTTCAACAGGTACCGGTAGTTGATCCAGAGTAAGATCTCATAGCCTGCGGAAAGTCGAGACCCGATATCGTGGGGTCTTGAAATGGGTCAGTTTCTGTGTGCCTGACGCTTAGCCAGCAAGGATGGATATTTGTGGCAATGGACGAGCATTTCCCGGGTTAGGATAGAACAGTATAGAGATGTGGTACATGCCGCTCCGTGCTTATCGTCCCGTTTCTGAAATACTATGGAGTGTATCGTAGGAAGCCATTTCCCAGACATAGGAAGAGTGATCTCACTATATACCCATATCCTCACTATTCATTACCTACTTAATGAATTCCCTCGCAAGAGCAATATGATATATAAAAACAGGGATTGATAATATGTTGAATTGACGTACTACGTATGTTTTTCTCTCAAATTGAACATCGGCTTTGTGCTTTGACAGGACTTTGTCACTTTAGTCGTTTTAGACATACCCTAGACCTAGTACACATGTACTACTAGTAAAAGCTGTATGTGGCTGTTCAGTTCACTCAACGAGGAATCACTTTGGAAGGTGAGTAAAAGAGTTTGGATTCAATAGGGAAACTGGCTGGATCGCGCTGGTATCTGCTCGGTTTAAAAAGGACTATGTGCCTGCCGCAACTTGACTTGGTCTTTAGACCCCACGTCTACCACTTAGGCTGGTCACGTTCGTGCATAGGTGTCTCGAGTGCATGAGAATCGCCGAAGGGATCGTCTTCATCATCTTCATCCTGCGGAGCTGCAACAGGCCTTGGGGGTTGAGGGGGAGGGTTTGAGTGAGGCTTGGACATGGGCGGTGGCCGAGGAGGAGCTGCGTGAACGGGTGCTGAAATGTTTAGCTCGGAGAGGTCTGGAGGCTGCGAGGCTGTTGGAGACTGAGAGGCAGCCTTGGCCATGGCCTCCTTACCCTTAATTGTAGCCACTGTGAAGAAGTCAGCTGCATTCTTGCCAGAATCCGAATCAACGCCTACTCCGATAAAGATGAGCTTGCTCGGCAAGTTCGTCATCCGAATCACTATCCGCGTCAATCGAACGATCGAACTGTTCGAAAGACATGAGAGCATGGACAAGCTCATCATTAGCATGAAGCAATCCTCCCAGCCACTGCTCCTCCTCCACATGATGAACCTGTACATGATTAGTTCCGAGACTTTCTTACAATCAAAATGAATACTCACATATCGAAGTACTTTGCGCCGAAGAAGTTTACAAGCTTCAAAGCGCTCCACTGCCGTCTGGTTCTCTGAAATACGCTCCACCTCACGGTTAATGCTTTGAAGCGCATTCATCAAGTTCGTTGCTGCTATGGAGGAGTCAGCAATGACAGACTTCATTTGCTCCTTCTCAGCCTCAAGATTGAAAGGCTTTCGCTTCCCCTTCGCCTTATCCTTCTCTTTCTCCTTCTTCTTATCTTTAGAGCTACCGAAGAAAGCACTGGGCCCTGAGGAAGATTTGGTAGAAGAGTGTCCGAATGTTGAACCATATGCTGGGTTTGAGCTCGAAGGGCCTGAAGCGTCCCGAGCATCACGGGCCGCCTTTGCCGCAGCTTCTTGTTCGTCGTCGACAAATGGATTTTCCTCTGTCTCCCTCAGGACTCGAGATCTCTCCTGTGTAACAGCTTGCTTTCTCTTGGGGAGTTCCTGCAACGTTGAGCATTCGGTGTTGAAATATGGTGTTAGAATGACTTACTCTGTGAAGTCGTGCGAGACTGTCTAGCCCTGGCCTGCCAGCATACTGTGACCATGAACGAAAGAGCTCCCTACACTTATTCCTCACTGCAACATCAGACAGGTCAGATGTACCGCAAACACGCAGACGTTCAAGCAAGGGCTCATCCACGAAGGTTCGCTGGAACCTCTCACCAGCGTTCTGGATGAGACCGTCAAGAATGACCAATGCACGGATCTGGCGGTGCACATTTCCGTATTTAAGCTTCTTTCGAATGGCTCGAGCTGCTTCACTAGGGCCCGTAGCTTGTAGGGTAATGACTTCGACAAGCTCAGGGATACCGCTGAGATCTTCCTCCTCATATGATTCGGAGGTAAGATTCTCAACGGTTACAGTTACCGCCGAGAACGGCTTTTTCTACTGGGACGTCAGTAAATACATTATCATAAATTGGAGTTACTCTGGTGACATGAAAATAGCTCATGAGAGCTATCAGTAAACAATGTCCGAATTGGGCGGAAACTGCTTGCTTCAGAGACAGGGCGGAAGGATCTTACCGATTGGAACATGCTCATGATGGGCTATACTGTCGTGGCTTATGTATATAATCTGCCGTGCTTGTAGCTCTGCGACACAGGTTGTCAAGTTCCACGATGATGCTATCTCAAGTGCGGTTGGTAGCTTTGGCAGCTTTGAGTGCCTGACGACTTGATAGTAGACAAAGCAGCGCGGGGCTAGTCGACACGATCGCTGAGCTCGTTGTGCCGAGGAAACGAAGAGGCCCGAGATGGCCTGAGGTATAGTAGGTAAGTGGTGAGAAGGTTTAAAGATCTCTTGTATCATGAGATTCTTTGCCAGCCAGATAATGAATGGATGTCAATACAGGTTATCGGGTCAGGTAGGTAGGTACCTTAGTCAGGCGCTCACTCGTTCCTGCTGTGGCTCAGGTATGGCGGGGTTGCTGTTCTGTTGCTTGGTAGTGGGACGTGACGCGGGGCTCCTTCCCAGGTTCGGTGGGGTTCTGTCGTCACTCCCGTCGTCAAGATGGGAGGAAGTCGTGGACGATGGTAGGTTGCCTAGCCGAAAAAGGGGTCTTTACAGGTCTAATTAGAGTTGGACAAGGTTCTGTGATAGGTTATGAAACGAACATCAAACTTATGGAGGATTAATGGTATTGCGTGGAAATCTGACCCAGGCGAGTTCAGTAGAGACTCATCGTATCACAACGGTAGCTTGAGATTGTGTCATACCTACCTCTGGTACATCAAGTTCTGGGCCTGGTAGAATGAGATATCTCAAGAGTTTGCACGAAGCCTGACAAAGTTCGAGCAAAGACCTTTGTAAGGGCGAATATTACGAACAGTTTGATATTTTTATAGCAGTCCGCCCTCAAATTTGGCTCTAGGACTAGGTACCTAGGTATCTATGAGCATTGAGTCAATGAAGAGGCTTGCTCTAAGCTTTGCTGATCAACACCTGTCTTCGCCCGAGCATAATACATTAAGAGGGGATGTTCCACACTGAACCAGTGGAACTCATGATGCCCATCTGCTCTCCATCAATGCAGGCATTGTCAGGGTTGACTATCACAAACCCTAGGCTAGACATGAGGGAGTGGCATTTTGCCAAGAACCCCCAAAAAGAGTTTATGCCATGACTCCTACTTGCTAAAAATGAGTCAGACATCATTCGGATTCCTATAATACAGCTCCATCTGTCAATATCCCTTCCCTTACCTCAGACACATTTGCCTCGACTCTGGCTACCCTAGACCTGCCCGGCGACTTCTCTAATCGCCCCTCCCCCGCCCCCGCCATCGCACCTCAGCTACGAATTTTGACTGTCAAAAGGCGTTATCGTAGCTCTGTGACTCACAAACCGACAAAGACAACCAACACCGAACGTCTCATAAATCATCGAGAGTATCCTTAGAGCAGTTGATATACCAGATCGCGGAAAATGGCTTCAAAATCACCCGTTCTGCCCGAGAAGGGTAAGCGCAACATCCTAATTACCAGTGCCCTTCCCTACGTAAACAACATTCCGCATCTGGGCAACATCATCGGCAGTGTTCTCTCCGCCGATGTCTTTTCTCGCTATTGCAGAGCCCGAGGCTGGAACACCATCTACGTTTGTGGTTCCGACGAGTACGGTACTGCTACTGAGACGAAGGCTCTCGAGGAAGGTCTTTCGCCGGCCGACCTTTGCGCCAAGTATCACGCCCTTCACAAGGGAGTCTACGATTGGTTCCGAATTGACTTCGACATCTTCGGCCGAACGCCCACCCAACAACAGACGCAGATTGTGCAGCAGATCTTCAAGGAGCTTTGGAAGAATGGTTATATTGAGGAGCGAGAGACTACTCAACCTTTTTGCTCGGATCCAGCCCACGGCAAGTTCCTCGCAGATCGATTCGTCGAGGGAGAATGCAGCATTTGCCATGATCTTGGAGCCCGTGGAGATCAATGCGATGCCTGCGGTAGCCTTCTCGACCCATTTGAGCCCGAGCGCGAGCCCAGCACCTCTGATGATGACCATGTCGAAGCTAAAGCGACTGGTTTCCTGATCAACCCCCGCTGCAAGGTCGATGGAACCACCCCCGAGAAGCGGAAGACGAAGCACCTTTTCCTTCGTCTAGATGCGGTTAAGGACTTACTCATTCCCTGGTTCCACAAGAGCAGCAAGGAGGGAGATTGGAGCACAAATTGTATTTCCATCACCCAGTCATGGATCGACAAGGGACTCCTTCCCCGTGGTATCACTCGAGACCTCAAGTGGGGTGTTCCTATTCCCAAGGATCTCGAAGGCTTGAGTAACGAGGAGTATGCAGAGAAGGTCTTCTATGTTTGGTTCGATGCTTGTATTGGCTACGTCTCCATTACCAAGAACTTGGTCGATGGTGATAACTTAGATGGCACGAATTGGGAGAAGTGGTGGAAGAACCCTGAGAACGTCAAGCTTTACCAGTTCATGGGCAAGGACAATGTGCCGTAAGTGACCTTTTTGAGAATCCACATGATATGCCGAGAAGGTGCTGACATTTCATTAGATTCCACACTATCATCTTCCCTGCCTCTCAACTTGGAACAGGAGAGAACTGGACCAAGGTCCACAAGATGTCGACAACCGAATACCTCAACTATGAGGGCGGAAAGTTCAGCAAGTCCCGCGGCGTTGGAGTTTTTGGAAACACTGCTAAGGAGACTGGCGTTGATCCTGACGTTTGGCGATACTACCTTCTATCCAGACGGCCCGAGTCCGCTGACTCTGAGTTCAAATGGCAAGAGTTCATTGACTGCAACAACAACGATCTTCTCAAGAACCTTGGTAACTTGAACCAACGAATCCTTAAGTTCACTCAGGCCAAGTTGGATGGCGTCGTTCCCGACTACACAAAGTACACCGACGAGCGGCTAGAGGAGCATAAGAAGGAAGTGAACGAGGCCCTCAAGACCTTCATCTCACAGTTCGACGCCATCAAGCTCCGTGCTGGTCTCGCCACTGTTATGCACATCTCCGCTCTTGGAAACAAGCTCCTCCAAGACAGCAAGCTGAACAACCAGCTTCTGGCCGATGAGCCAGACCGTTGCGCTGCTGTAATTGGTCTCGGTATCAACCACCTCCAGCTCCTTGCAAGCATCGTTCATCCTTATATGCCCTCTACTTCCGAGGCCATCCTGGAGCAGATCGGAAGCCCTGGCTTGATCTCCATTCCTGAAACATGGTCAGGAGACCTCGTCAAGCCCGGTCAAAAGATTGGCGAGCCCAAGCTTCTCTTCACACAGATCCCCGCGTCTAAGCTTGATGAGTGGCGTGAGGCCTTTGGTGGTGAGGAGATCCGAAAGCAAAAGGCCCTCGAGGCGGAGAAGGCGGCGGCGAAGAAGGCTGCTAAGGACAAGAAGAAGCAAAAGAAGCTCGCTCTTCGTCAAGCTGAGAAGGCAGGTGAAGCTTCTACCGAGGAGAAGCCTGTGGAGGGGAAGAAGCCTGTTGAGGCCTCTGCTGTTGACTTGCTCCCCGACAACAAGCCCTCTGAGACATAGATGCATGTAAACCAGAGTGAATCGGAGTTGGCGTTAGCAAAAGAAATTGACTGGGTATGGAGGGTGCATGAGGAGCAGTTAGAAACGAACATAGGTTGCCGAGCTTGTTTCGAAGGGTTGCCGAACTGTAAAGTAGATTCTCAAATCAACTTATGAGGAATGACTAGATTATGAGCTAAGTGTAAAATATGTTTAAAGTTTAGGTATGTCAAGTTTCTCTTCAGACTCTATCCTGCGCCTTCATGTTCAAGGTAGTATGCCAGCCAATCCTCTCGGACACAGACGAGAGGGCAGCTTCGCTGCCATGCAACCTAGAGAAACTAGGCCATAACGCAGAAATGCTTCAAATCAAAGACTTCAGATGAGAGCCATGCGTAGGTCTACAGCGTGGTGTCTAGAAACGGGAACAGTTGCTATCCGTTTTTGAGTGGTGGAGAAAAGGTCGTCCATGTATATGGCCTTGGTTGCGAATGCTCAGTTTGGTATTGTTATATAAATCAAATGTAATCCCTTCTGCCTTTCGACGATTTTATGTCGGCAAGGATGTGGTATCTGTATGTTTAATCCGAAAACTCCTTAAGCCTGTTGAGAGGCACCTGGCCTGTTGAAAGGCGTAGCTTTCTGTATCGACTCGGTGTGTAGTGTACACTATTCGACTAGTTGGAGCTGTCTGGCAGCCTCCATTCGTTTTTGCGGCCTTGATAACGTTTCATGAGGCGCTAATATGCTGTCCTGTGACTCTTATTGTCGTTTACTTGGGAGAGTTTAGACAGAATTCGGGAGCTTAGTTGGACTTCTTTCCAGCAACACGCTCACGCTCACGCTTGGCGTAGATTTCAGAAGTGAACGGATCCTCAAATTTCAGAGCGATCCTATAGACAACATCAACCCACAATGTGAGCAGGACACCGGCAGGCTTGCCATACCACATGGCGGTAGCGAGGAAGCTGCAGGTAGAGCCAGTGTACATAGGAGAGCCGGTCACGTTGAAGGGAAAGCCAGTCACCATCTCGTCCATGAGAATGCCAAAGTAGTCACCGAGGAAAGTGCCAGTAATGCCTAGTCGCCAGGTTGAAGAGACGACCAGGACGTTACCAACGATAAACAGAGCAACAGCGGCGGCCTGGATGAAGTCGGTGACAAGAGCGGGATGCGTGGGTTGTTCGGCGATGGCAGTCTTGAAGATAAAGTCGCGAATCATACCGAGAGAGAAGATAGTGGCAGCAAGAGCATAGCAAGCAACTTGGGAGTTACCGCCGAAAATCTTGGTCAGAAGCTTGTTGTGGTATTCTTTCAGCGATCAAGTTAGTCGAAGATGAATCGTATAGCTGCAAGCTGCATACCTTGGCGGGCGACGATGCTAGAAAAGAAGAAGAGTTAGTGATTGGTGATACAACGTCACATGAAGGCTTGGAACTCACTTCCAGAAAAGAGGGTTGAAGGCGATGGAGGCAGCAGAGACTGGAAGAAGCAAAGAGCTTGAGTCAGATTCAAGTAATCGCTGGTATTACTCAAGTCAAGTTGTTAGATACTCA